CATTAAATTCCAGTGAAATATATTTATGTTTGTGGTTGTAATGTGACAAAATATGGAAAAGTTCAAGGGGTATGAATACTTTTGCAAACCACTGTAAGTGTTATTTAACACTTAACAGTGGGCAGAACTCATTTAATTATCTCCAGAGTTAAATATGCACTGATAAAATCAACTCAGTGAATTAACACCAACACTGGATGTCAGTTAATTAAGGATTTTTCTTAAAAACACTTTAAGAGTTGAAATCGTCTCTGAAAAGTTTAACTCTGAAAATTTAACACTTCCAGTTTTACTGTGATACATGTTTCTTCTTTCTGACACTTTTCTTATGACTCAAACAGTTTGAACATCTTACTGTTGAATGATGTATCATGTGTCTCTGAAGAGAGCRCTTGTGGAGAAATTGTTTACCACACTCAGAGCAGCTGGAACTGTTGTTGACACAGTTTACACCTGACTCAGAAGCCCTGCTCTCCTTCCAGTCTTTGTCACTGCCTTCAGTTTCTAATCTAGCATCTGACAAATGTTCCAGCTGAGAATCAGGACTGTTCCCATCTTCCTCCTTTTCATCATCCTCACTGACTTCAGTCTCTAAAGAGTTGGAAGCATCTCCATGAGGATTCAGATCTGGGTTCCTGCTGGTTTCTGCTCTTCCACAGTTCTCTCCATCAGCTTCTCCTTTCATCTGGTCAGCTGAGCTGCTGGTTGGAACATCTCTGTGGTCCATTTGGTGCTGATGAAGCTGAGAGAACAGAGGCTTCTCTTCATCATCCTCACTCTTCACAGAAACTGCAGTGAATGAGAACTCTGTAGCATCGGTCTCATCCTTCACACTGAGATGCTATCCTTCCAGTCTTGTCCAGATTTCATCCTGTTTTTCCTGGAGGGGCTCTGGGTCCTGCTGGTCCATATTGGGCCTTCCTCTCTCAGGAGCATGGACTATAATCAACAGAGTCTGCTGAACATCTGAGAAACACTGAAACACAGACAATAGAGAAATACAACTTTATATTCACTCATACATCACTTGTGTTGTTGCTTCATGTTCWGTGGATCAGAACTGTTCCAAGTCAACAAACACCATTTTATTCACTAAGAGACAAATATCTGTTCATCATCAACATTACAACAGAAGTG